CTGTGCAGTGCAGTTTTCGCTGTGTTGTGGCAAAGCCAAGGAATTATTATGCATAACTCATTAATTTTGGTATAAATATAGATTAAGGATTTTTCTGTCTGTGTTTTATATTTCATAAGTGGAAAAAAAATCCCATTAGAGTAAGTATAGTACTGTGTAACAAATTTCACAAACTTCATTTTAATGTTACTTTTGAAATCTAATTCTTTATCATAAATATTTTTCAAATTTCTCAGGGAAATTTATTATTAATTCTTAACCCACTGTTCGTTAACATCAAGGATTACTTGTGTTAATGTTAGACGTCTCTTTATTATTTGATTGAGACTGTTTATCTGGGGGTAAACTCTATGATCTCAAGACTTTTCTCATCATATTAAATCTTCTGAAGCTTTTATCTGTGTCTCCCATTATAAAACTTAACAACCAATTACAAGCAGAAGTCTTTAGGTTTAATTTGCAGATATTTGTTTGGGATTGTAGTGAAAGTATACATGGAATTAGTTCTGTGTTGCCCTGAGATGTTGCCCATTTGGTTTTGCTAGAACCTGCTAATAAAGAAGTCAATGGGTAGATTGATAGTGATGTAAGTTCCTTAGATTGCAGTAAAAAAAAAACATTTGTGTTTCGAAAAATTCAGGATCTACCAGAGAATATGATGAGGCAACTTCTAGCATGGATTGTCAAAACTAATGAGAGAGGCATCTGTTTAAGCAGTAAATATGTATAATGCCTCTGAGTCTCTGTGTGAAAATGTTGCAATACTTCTCAGGTATTATGTATTGGCGATCATTTTGAGGTCTTATAGTTCTTTGAATTGCTTTGTGGTAGATATAACTAATCCTTCATCAGCATCCTTTGTCACAGTTTTAATTGTTTTATAGTTTTTGATTATGGCTGTCTGTCTGTCTGCCTGGCTCCCTTTGCATAAATGCATTTTGCCAAGGGCGCCAACAAATGTTTTCAGAAAAAATCTAAGTCTCCCTTGGGATGTAATTTAATATAAACCTATGTATTGGAATTGAAGTGAAATTAAATTTAAGTGAAATTAAACTGTGAATGGTCTTCAGAACATTTTTCTTTCCTTTTTTTTTATATTTTTCTTTATTAACTTGCCTTAAAATAAGAAAACATTACTGAAACAGCTATTGAATAAATAAGAGGTTACCTGGTATTATTTAATATATTTAATGTTAAACATTATTGAATCTATATTATGTAAACCTTTCCACTAACAACTGGCTCTACTCATATTAAACTACAACCGTCCAACTGTGTGACTGCTTTTTGTGGTGGAGTTATTACATAGGGCAGCCTCCTTCTTTCAAAAACAAAGAGAAAAGAATGTGTAACTTATAAAACATCACCAGCAGCAATATTCTAAAATTCTTCAAATTTACTTTAAAAATTATATAAACCTCAGAAAAGAAGCGACTCCCTTGATTTTACATCTCACACATTCTCAAAGGGGAATTTCTTAAGTCTGTGGCTCTCCAGTTTTCCGTTTAAATGATTGAGAGCACAGACCAAGATCTCTCTATAGAGGGCACCCACAGTCCCAGAATGTCTTGTTTGCTCGGCCTGTGTACATTTTGTATTTGAAAGAGCAGCAAGTCAATGAATCTCCATAATGCGAGAGCTGGGCCACATAACTCACGTTGATAGTCCTTACATTGTGCCAAGAGGCGATAAATCTGCTCTGTGGGACATGAATATGCAGTGGCAGTCAGTCTGGCTTGTTCTTGCTCGCGTGCCCCCTGATGAACAGTTTATTCCTCTCCTCTATTCACAACAGAAAAAATTAAACCAATGAGCCGCAGCACTATCTCATCGAGAGTCTTATTAAGAAAAAAATATGTAAAATGGCTTTTTCTCAAATGATTGCTAATTTATGTATTTTTTGTCTATCTATCTATCTATCTATCTATCTATCTATCTATCTATCTATCTATCTATCTATCTATCTATCTATCTATCTATCTATCTATCTATCTATTTATGTCAATCAGTTTAAAGGATTCATTGTCAGCTTTCTATTACCATTTGACCATACGAGAGATAATTAGGTTAGATTTTGGGTTTTTTATGCAACCTATTTTAAGTGAGGGTACCAATTCAATTTACCACATGCAGGTTCTATGTACGTATATTTGTGGGGCAGAAAAAATTTAAAGACTGAGCGTATTTATTTGTTCACTAGATGCTTTGTTTTTATGGCCCTCATACCATCCTTTTTTCAATTGTCTGTCAGTAAAAATTAAGGATTTAGCAGAGGATTAAAAAATGCCCCAACATTAATTAATATGATATTTTTTATGGGTATTAAAAATATATGTATACATACAGGATCTATAGGGGCGATTTGGTGTCAATAAGACTCGTCATCACATTGTAGATGTAATGAAGCTCCTTTTTAAAACAGAACCCTTTCATTTGAATTGTTGAAAGTTTTCATTATATTCTACAGAATTTTATAAATATTAAAAAGGCTGCTATGCAGAGTGCTTTTTTTTTTTTTTTTTATAAACAAGAGGAATATGAAAATGTTATTCTGTCCTACTCTATTAATTCTTTTTTCTTTCATTTTTGGTATGATTACCACTGGCCCCTATCTGGCCACTTCAATCAAAAGTTTCTGGAGGCACCCCTGGACACCAACCTTTTGCAGTTGATCTTTGATGATTTATTTATTTATTTTTTTTTTTACACCAAATGACAAACTGACAGAACCAAGATATTTCAAAGCATTCATGCATGCAATGACAACCTCGGGATAGCAAAGGATTGTGCTTTTTGGCATTTAACTAACACTAAGGTAAAACCTTTTTCGTACCTGCAAATATGTACAGTATCTAATTTAGGTGGAGCATTTTAGTAAAACTGAATTTCTCTACAAAAAGTGAAAAACATTGAAATGATACTTAAAAAACAACATTTTAGCACCTCTCAACCTCTAACTGGAATAGCAATATGAGCATTTAGACACTGCATATGGCAAAACTCCAGTTATTGAGGATTAGTGCTTATTATGGAAAGTTACACAAGATTTAAATTCAAGAACTTTTTCAATATGTAAGATTTGATATGTTTTATATAATGATCGTTGTCCAGAGATTTTAAGAATGCAAAAGATCTGCCCATATTTAGACTCCCACTCATTCTGCTTAAGTCATAAATTTGCTTCTGTTTTGACATCAGAAATCCTTATGAGGACAGCATGCACTGATCTGATCAGAAAGCCAGATTTCATGATATACAGGTGCTGGTCATAAAATTAGAATATCATGAAAAAGTAGATTGATTTCAGTAATTCCATTTAAAAAGTGAAACTTGTATATTATATTCATACATTACATACAAACTCATATATTTCAGATGTTTATTTTGTTTAATTTTGATGATTACAAATGACAACAAATGAAAATCTCAAATTCATCATATCAGAAAATTAGAATATTACTGAAGACCAATAAAAACAAAGGATTTATAGAAATGTTGGCCAACTGAAAAGTATGAACATGAAAAGTATGAGCATGTACAGCACTCAGTATTTAGTTGGGCCTCCTTTGGCCTGTATTACTGCAGCAATGCGGCGTGGCATGGAGTCGATCAGTCTGTGGCACTGCTCAGGTGTTATGATAGCCCAGGTTGCTCTAATAGTGGCTTTTAGCTCTTCTGAATTGTTGGGTCTGGTGTATTGCATCTTCTTCTTCACAATACCCCATAGATTTTCTATGGGGTTAAGGTCAGAAGAGTTTGCTGGCCAATTAAGAACAGGGATACCATGGTCCTTCAACCAGGTACTGGTAGCTTTGGCACTGTGTGCAGGTGCCAAGTCCTGTTGGAAAATGAAATCTGCATCTCCAAAAAGTTGGTCAGCTGCAGGAAGCATGAAGTGCTCTAAAACTTCCTGGTATGTGGCTGCGTTGACCCTGGACCTCAGAAAACACAATGGACCAACACCAGCAGATGACATGGCACCCCAAACCATCACTGACTGTGGAAACTTTACACTGGACTTCAAGCAACGTGGATGAAGTGCCTCTCTTCTTTTCCTCCAGACTCTGGGACCTTGATTTCCAAAGGAAATGCAAAATTTACTTTCATCAGAGAACATGACTTTGGACCACTCACCAGCAGTCCAGTCCTGTTTCTCTTTAGCCCAGGCAAGACGCTTCTGACGCTGTCTGTGGTTCAAGAGTGGCTTGACACAAGGAATGCGACAGCAGAAACCCATGTCTTTCATACGTCTGTGTGTGGTGGTTCTTGAAGCACTCACTCCAGCTGCAGTCCACTCTTTGTGAATCTCCCCCACATTTTTGAATGGGTTTTGTTTCACAATCCTCTCCAGGGTGCGGTTATCTCTCTTGCTTGTACACTTTTTTCGACCACATCTTTTCCTTCCCTTCGCCTCTCTATTAATGTGCTTGGACACTGAGCTCTGTGAACAGCCAGCCTCTTTAGCGATGACCTTTTGTGTCTTGCCCTCCTTGTGCAAGGTGTCGATGGTCGTCTTTTGGACAACTGTCAAGTCAGCAGTCTTCCCCATGATTGTGTAGCCTATAGAACTAGACTGAGAGACCATTTAAAGGCTTTTGCAGGTGGTTTGAGTTAATTAGCTGATTAGAGTGTGGCACCAGGGGCCATCAATTTTGAACCTTTTCACAATATTCTAATTTTCTGATATGATGAATTTGAGATTTTCATTTGTTGTCATTTGTAATCATCAAAATTAAACAAAATAAACATCTGAAATATATGAGTTTGTATGTAATGTATGAATATAATATACAAGTTTCACTTTTTAAATGGAATTACTGAAATCAATCTACTTTTTCATGATATTCTAATTTTATGACCAGCACCTGTAACTATGAACAAACGTATCCATATAAAAACAAAACGCACATATTTAGATGAAAAAAGTATAGAGCTGGGTGGTGATTCGGATCCCTCTCACCTCCACGAAAAACTTGGACATAGTTGACAGCAATGCGTAAGGACGCGTGCCTCTAGTGGCACCGTGGAAGGAGGGTCCTCAGACGCACATTTGCTCGCATTACATGCCTAACCAGCACATAGTGAAACGTTGGTAAAATTAAAACGATGTAACAGCAATGTCTTCGCCTAGATGGACCTTCCTCTGTAACCTCTCCAGCAAATAACGGTGCGCAACCGGAGCGGACGTCCTTTCACTGGCGATCAGGACCGAAGTGCCTAAACTAGGAGAGGCATTCCTGAATCACCGAAGTATGTTTACATTTCTAAACAATCTCTGTGCGAGCTGATGAGGACAAAATCATTCTAAGACAGACAAACTTCCGCAGATCTTCGTCCACAGTGGCGCAGCGAAGCGCAGGAGTTCGGCTCAGCTTTTTCTTTTTTTGCCTGTAGACAAGACGGCACTGAGTGCTGGAGGGTATACAGAGAGACTCCTGCGGGGTGATTGTTTGCAGCCTGCTGTAGCAGGTGTTTTCACTGATCCGCCAGCGAAGGACGGAGGGGGCTTTATCCTCATCTTTCGTTGTAAGGCTGACAAAAGGCAGAAAAAAAAAGAAAGCCCGATGAGAATGTTGCACCAAGAACAATGCGCGTAGAGTTGTCGCATTTTACCCAAATCCACACATGCTCCGTAGATTTCAGTTTTCATGAGCAGTTCTGACTCGTCTTTGGAATTTTTTGAGAGAGAAAAAAAGTGGATCTAACGACTTTGCAACCATGCGAAATACTTGGTTATCTCCCCGGAGTGTGATTTGGGAATATTGGACTTCGCTGATTGCATGCCTCTTTTGGATTCAGTACACTTGGGGGATGCCTCACGTTATACGAATAGGTAAGTTGGACACATCAGAGCTGCATTCAGTCATGCACACGCGTTTATTGTAAGCTTGGAAGTTGCATCCAGATGATCAGATTTACGCGCGGGTCCAGTTATTGTTGGGAAGAAGCTGTCTTTATCAAACTAACGCCCAGGTTGAGGGAAATTTTGGAAATGGCATCAACAAAAACATCATTAAGTAACATGAAAGAAGTGAATTGGGAATGTCTTGTGCGCCCAGGCGCAGCGCATGGAAACGTAGTGGCTTTATGTGACCTCTATGCACTCTGCCTTGTGTGCTCCATTTTCTGCGGGCAGCGTGTTGAGTCACCGGTTATATTCAGCCACAGGATGCCTCCCGAAAATACATTTCTTATTTTGAGGATAAATTTCTACTCAAGATGATCACTGTTTGAAATCTAAAAAAAAAATAAAAATAAAAACTTAGCACGAATCAAAAGTTTTAAAAATTCTCTTTTCATACCTAAATAGTAGAAGAAGGGATTTTTATCTTCTTTTTTCCCCAATCTTTATTGTTTTACTGCGATAGATACTTGTGCAGTCAAAAGTATTGAAAAATGCAGAGTAAAAGTTGTCCCATGTAGTTCAATCTCATCATAGAGAAGAAGATGAAGTGACCAAGTTTTTTAATTGCTTTCTTTATCCAATCACTGTTGGAACTATGTAAGAATAATTTTTCACAGATCGGCCATAAGATGAAACGTTGTGAGTGGCTAAGGGACAGGGTCAGAAATGAGATCAATATGTTTCTATTTTTATTCTGTCAAAGCTGATAGTTTTTATCCCTTATTTGACAATTATTCAAAATGGCAGTGGCCTGCAAGTTCTACCACAGCCAGAGCACATTCAGGGGGTGAATGTACTCCAAATGCCTTAAAGTGAATTAATTGGTGCACCATTGGACTTTGCATACATTGTATTTTTGGGGATGGAAAGTGTCGTTCTGTATGATAAATCAGATCATCAAAACTCAATAAGTAGTAGGTGTACCCTACACTTTGCAATCTGTGCAGACATTAAAGGTGAATGTATTTAAGAGCACAGTGATCCAAGAATCTTATTATCGACTTTTTTTTTTTTTTTACATATATTTCTAAAATGTGCTTTTCTTGTAATAAAAAGCATGAAGTGTAACATGTTTGTGATGTAGTAAGAGAAGCATAACTTTCAGCTTTTAGGGAGACCCAGATCAAGCTCGGGTTTTTACGTTTTTTTCCCCTTCTCTGTCTCTGTTGGTGTATTACAAACTGTAGCAATTCAAAAGTTTTCTCATTAATTATTTAAAAGGAAACGGCTAAGGTCAAGGGTTATTTTCTTTTCCTCCAATGATCCTCTTTCAAGTGGCAGCAGCTCAAACACAGACCCAAAATAAATATGACAGGCTTTGTTTTTAAAAATGTCAAAGTGCGGAGACATATTTACCCAGAAATGTGCTACAATCGCACCATTGCTTTTTATAGGATCTGTCATTGCTTGTGTTGCAGAAGCGTGTAAATGTGCTCGTGTTCCAAAAGGTGAGATATGGAGAAAAGGTTGCTGAATTTACTTTAACAGCCAAAGAGGGAAAAAAAATCTGCAGGACATATGAATTCATATTATCTGTACAAAGGGAGCTTTTGTGTATGTATCGGTTGGCTAAATTATCGTTTTTCCTGTGCAAAAATAATACAAAAGGTAATATTCTGTTACACAAAATGCACCTAATTAAGTTAGGTGTATGTATGAATCATGTAAAGTGCATGTGTTAATGTTATTGCAATGGTAATTATATTTTATTAGTGTACAGATTCATTATGAATGAGCAGATTTATAGAGGAGTGGTCAGATGGGTTATTTTTGCTTTTCTTTTTTTCTGTTTTGTTCGGTGTGTAGAAGCAAACAGAGGGGTCTCTTAGTGTCATTGCAGCGTTTCTAATGTTGCTCCTCAGCACTGGTTACCAACCCCAGCGAACCAGTGAAATTCATCGAGGTGGGCGGTAGTGTGTCTGTGCCGTGTCTGCTCTGAGTTAGGTGGCCTGCAGTTCTCCAAGTACACCATCTGGGTAATGGTGGGCATCCAAGGTGGAGTTGTTGCCATTGATTTTAGTGCTTTTACAGTGCATTGCTTCGAGTTGATGCCAGATGGTTGCTCTATCATTCAGCAGCTTCTATCTGTTGGAGGGAATAAAATACATTTTCTACTGTATTTGTCCTCTCACATGCTGCGTTCCTCTTTAGTTTCCCTCTGCTTACTCTTTTCAATTCTTTTTTCCACTCCTTCCTGACAAGTTTAGCAGTTTCCTAACTCATAAAGGAACCATTAGGCAGCACATGCAACGTTTTCTGTAAGAAAGATAAAAAATGATCACGCAAGCGGAGATATTTTTTCCATCTACAAAAATTTTCTAGTAATTTAGCACGTATACCAATGAAGGTTTTGTTTTCTCATGCTATTTTTATATCACCATGTTCTATCTCAAGCTTTTAGGCTTTATACTTATTCACATACATATTTATGTAAAAATAACTCCCCTTCCTAAGTTCTGGTTACAACATACAGGATAGGAAATGTGTAATAATCAAGTCAGTTTTCTCAGCAATCATACTTTCATTGAATCTCTTTGCATGAAATTCACACCAGATGTTTGTAACAACTCACATAATCCACACGCACAAAAAAAAAAAAAAATTGTAACAAAGTTGAATAAAGGGAATTAGTGTGTAACACAGCTACTTAGACCTATGTGAAGATCAGATCAGGTATAAAATAAAGTGAAGTATTCCTAATTCTATTTTGTCCAATTCTTTGCTGTTTATACATCATTGGGGCCTTCTTTAATGTACTTTGATCTTGAGTTCCTTTTTATAGACTTTTTTGACTTCTTTTCCTTCTTCTCGGAAATCAGTGGGATGTTGTCTCGGCTGTTTTTGAACCAGTGCCTTCTAACCCTTCTTTGATCTTCAGATTCATATGCTGTGTTTTCCATTTATTTCTGATGGATATTATACAATTTAATGATATTAAGTATTTTATGATCATGATGAGAAAACCCCAGACACATAATGCTCACTAGACATTAACCAATGCATTCTTTGCCAATGACGATACCAGTTAATTAACATCAGTCTTACCGATATGTTAAGATTTTGTTGTTGTTGTTTTTTTTTTTTGGCTTATTCTTTAGCTCATTATTGCTTCCTCTGCACCCATTTACATGAAAAAAAAAATGACATGAAATGTTATAGAAGTCTCGGTCTGAACAAATACAAAAAATATTAGCAAAGCAAAGAAGACCAAATCACAGTGGAATTAAAATGGAGGGAATGCACGCATTTAGACGATCTCAAGGCACAGCCTCTGAATTCACTAACGAATCGGTAAACCTGTGCATGTTTTATCCGATGCTGATACAAGAAAAAAAAATGCTACTATCAGCCAAAAATATCAGCTGCTGATGTGCCAGTCTATCTCTAACATTCACCCCCTTCCAACATCACAGCTGTCTGTTATTTTTTTTAGGTGATGTGACTTTTCCTTCTCAAAACAAGGTGTCTTCAATGACACAAATAGTTTAGTTTCAGTCTCATCTGAACAGACAATATTTTTCTCTTTTTTTTTACTGTCCATATTTTATGGGCTACTGGAAATGACTAAAGCAGAATAAAATTAATTGGCAGTTGAAGGGGCACAGAAGTTGTTAAGGTTGGGTTCATGCTAGGGCTGAACAATTTTGCAAAAATAAAAATTGCGATTGTTTTTAACCAAATAGGGATTTATTTTGATTTTTTTTTTCAATTTTTGAAAGCTTGCTTACCCCGAGTCCATTGTTACTGGACTTAACTCTAACCCTTCTTTAAAAAGCATTGATTTCTATTTGCATGAATGGATCTACATGCTAGCTTCTACGCTCTCTACCATTCTGTGTGGCGACAAACCCACTTCAAGTGTTTTACCTCCACCTAAGGGGCTGTAGGGAGAAATTCAGTGTCTTACTCTTGTTAAATATGGTGTGATTTAAATCAGTGCCTCTGTGATTTCAAAATTGTGTTTTGTTAAATTGTGATTGTATTGCAAATGCAATTAATATCCCAGCCTTAGGTTTTACAGCTTTTTGCATTTTCTTTGTTTGTATGTGTTCAGCATAAAATAAATTATTTGATTTATGGGGTAATATGTTTAATTTTACTTTACAATTGGAGTTTTTGGATGGTTGTTGAAATAGTGCAGATTTCATATAAATAGCTATAGTTGTTGTTTGAAAGGTTTATAAGCTATGCCCTTATTTTCCCCAGGGTGTTTAACAATAGATTTTACAAATATAACTGTATTATGTGCCATTTCTTTTATCTGATTAAACTGATTTATCCTTTATTGGCTCCTTTCTCTTTGTCAGCCAAGTCACTGCTGGACAGGGATTTATTGAAGAGTCAATTACTTTATCTACTTTAAACTTAAGTCACTTAATTAGTGCCACATACCCTACCTCTCTCAAGATTTTATGTTTATATCATTACCGTAGCTCCTTGCTACTTCTCTATGCACCTGCCTGCATCCATTTTTTATTTAGTTTTCCAAATGTTTCCAGCCTTCATTATTGTCTTTGACAAAGCCTCAAAATTTCAATACAAGCTGACAAATGCGGACACCCTCGAAGCTGCATTGTGCAGTCCAAGCTGCTCACAAGCTTCAGTAGGATGAATCAGGTTTGTGGTCACCTCTTTTAGTTGATGTCTTCAAACACACAAAAGCACTTCAGTGGCTTGTTATTATCCCTGCACAAGCAGCAGGAAAAGGCTGTGAGAAGTTTTCATGTTATTCGCTCGTCTGCAGGGAGCTACAAGCGGCATGCTCTCCTCTCTCACATCCTCCCCGAGATCCTCATCGTTTGGGCGTGTGCAAATGTTTCATCTGAAACGACTCAGACGCATTTCAAGAGCATGCAACAAGCTGAGACGCTACTTTAGAATTCTACATCTCAACAAAGCCAGATCCAAAACAGAGGTGCTTGTATAGA